ACTGAATCTTAACTTCAACAAATAAAAGCAGCAACAGGAATGGGCAATACCTAGGCAACACACAAACACAAAAAGTACGCATAAAAACATTTACAACATGTATTAGGAAACAGTGAAAACATGCCCTCTACCATATTAGCATATCAGAAAGTAATGTTTCCATTCTGCAAAGAAAGGAAACAAACTGGCCATAGCATGTTAGTTTCTAGAATATTACATGAGGCCATTATGGGTTTTTTTTAATGTATTTAGTACAGGATCTGCAGGGTCTCACTACACAGATCAGACTCATAGTGATACTCCTGTTTTCAGCCTCCCAAGCGCTGGGATTACAGGCGTGTGCCACCATGACCAGTCTCAGCGCATCCCAGAGGCGGAGCTGGCTCACCTTGAGGTGTGTTCTGCCTAGGCAAGCGCTTTAGTCCACTAAGCTATCTGGCTGGCCAAGGCCATTAAGTTTGAAAGGCTGATCATGACACTTCCTGCGCGAAGCTCAAAAAACACTGCTGTAAATGTTTGCCCAGACTTAGACCAAAATTTACCAAGTTAATAAGAATTAAATGAAAAATTTTAGTGAAAGATTCCGCAAGTTCAAGTATTATTACAACTAAGCTCACTAACAGAGTACAGTGGACCCTAGAGTTATAATTGGCCTGGCATCCCAACAACTTGGGTTATGGCCAGAATTTTAGCTATAATTTAAAACCAAAGTCTTGAGTTATGACCTGAATGCCGGCCATGAGTGCTTCCAGATGGCCTCAGATACAGGAATGAACATTACAACAGCCTTCCTGCATGGGGTTAATTCAGAAATCCTGGGCCAATGTCTCCTATGGACATGAGATCCTGTGGACAGGAGAGAGGTTTCAGAGGCTGTGGGGAGGAGCCTGGGCCTTCAGGTGGCCCTGGGTTACGGCCAGTGCTCGGGGCGTGCCGGGCTGGCAGCCAAGGGCCACGTGTTTCTTTACCAGTCATTTGAGAAGAACACGGGCCCTGCTGTTGGGACGTCAGCTCCTTTATGCTTATGATGCACTCGGTTTCCTCGTATGGGGCTGCGCCCAGTTCTATGAGTCGGTTTATAAGAATCTGCATTATTTGTCATTCCTAGTTGCTTGAAGTCTTCACATTCCAGACAGTAACCCTTCATCAGTTATATACATTGGCCACAAACTTGCTTTTTAAGTTTCTTGGTATAGTTTCTTTTTTGTGTAACAGTTTAAAAATTTAAATGTAGGCACTTATCAACTTTTTCCAATTTTATTTTGGTTTGTTTTCTGAGACGGCGTCTCATTGTGCATCCTGGGGCGGCCTTAAACTCCCGGGCACAAGCAGTCATCTTGCTTCAGCCCCCGCCCCAGCTGGAACTGAATCTACAAATTTGCTAATTTGAATTTTTGTGCAATAAACACTTCTATACTCCAAGGTAAAACACAGTACTGTCTTATTTTTTTCTACAAATTTTAAGCTTTTGCTGTTCATTTACGTTAGGGATTTATTTCTGTATATGAATAAGGATCTGGGGCTTGTGAGATGGCTCAGTGGTCTAGAGCGCTTACTTGGAACAAGCTTAGCAAGGCCCAGGGACAGCCGTTCCACATGCCAGCTGGCCCCGCCCCCTGGTGGGCTGAGCTGGCCACACACACACACACACACAAATAAATAAAAAAAATTAAAAAAAAATGAATAAGGATCTGATTTTATTTGTTCCTACTTGAACAATCAATTACCCAGCACCATCTGTTGAACATTTTACCCTTTCTCCAGACACATAACTGCCACCTCTGATACAACCAGGGTGCCATTTGTGCTCAGGGTTTTTTCTGAGCTGTCCTTTATTCCGTTGGCTACCAGCGAGCCCCTATACTGACAGTCACAGTCCTAAATATTGCTGTACAGGAAGTCTTTCTATGTGGCGGTCACTCTACCTCAGAAGGCCAAGTTTCCAAAGTGTCTTAGCATTTCTTAGCCCTTTGCTCTCTCTGTATGTATTTTATTTTTAACTTATGTATTTTTACTTATGTAATTTATGTATTTTATGAATTTTTATATTATTTATGTGTTTAAATTTATATATTTGGTCTCACTATGCAGCTCAGACTTGTAATGACTTTCCTGTTTTCAGCCTTCCTAGTACTGGGATTACAGGCGTGTGTCACCACGCCTGGACTTGGCCACTGGCGCAGCATGCCCAGGGGGCAGGGCCAGCACGGCATGTGGTACCAGGGATTGAACCCCTGCATGTATTTTAGAAATACTTTGTCTTACAATGTATTGATTATCAGAACTGTCCTATTAATCAGCTGTGAAACTGTCTCATTCATATTTATTTCTCAATAAAAATAATTAAAAAAATTAAAAAAAAGAAATACTTTGTCTTGATCTTTTTTTAGGTGTAATTTTGACCAAAGCCATATTTGCTTCTGAGTAAACAGACAGAGACCTGCTACCTTTTTGATTCTGAGTTTTCCATGCCATGAACAATGTTCACTTCTACTTTTTTCTTTTTCTTTTTTCTGTTTTTTAGGGAAAGGTCTGCAGGATGTTCAAGGTCTCACTACATGTAGTGATTCTCCTATTTACGGCCTCCCAAATGCTAGGATTACAGGAGCACACCACCATGCCCAGTCTTAATTGCCACAGCGGTTGGTCAAGCCCAGCCTGGGAGCCTGCTTGCAGGCACTTTAATCCGCCGAGCTATTTGGCCCGCCCTTGCTTCTACTATTTCCACTTCCATTTTTTCCTATTTATTTCACCTTATGTTCTTTAACATAACTATCGCGCATGATCGATTGGGCCACTGGAGCTTCTTGTGTTCCTTAATGAAGTTTTGAAATCTTACTACAAAGGTCTGTTACATAGTAATTTATTTTTCTGAACTTTGTAGATTTTGCGTTTCACATGCATAATCTTCTAAAAAATTATTCTGAAATCGTTTCAGGTTGATAGAAAGGTTGCCCAGACAACATAGAAAGTTCCTGTATAATCTTCACCTACTTTCTCTTAACAATAATATCTACATATTTGTTTATTCTTGAGGTCAGGGTCTCACTATGTATTTCGGGCTGGCCTTGAACTCACTAAGTAGCTCAAATTGGCCTTGAACTCAAAGAGAACCTCCTGCCTCAGCCTTCCACGTGCTGGGATTAGAGGGGTGCACCATCATACCTGGCCAGAAACAGTATTTTTACCAAAATTAAACAATTTACACTGACGGGTCACCTTTAATTAAATCTCAAAGTTTCTGTGAATTTCAGTCAATTTTCAATAATATCCTTTGTCTCCTCCAGGTGCACAGCACTCTGGCATACCTCCCAGCCATTGTCAGGTCTACAGTATCTTTTTTACTCCTTGCTTTTCATGACCATGACAGCTGTGAGAACTACCTCTCACCTACGTGTGTCTGGCTGCCTCTGGGCCTGAGGTCGGAGGTGCTGGGCAGGGCCCGCAAGGTGAGGTGCACCTCTTGTTGCACTGAGTCCACCGCACTGGTGGTGCCAACCTTGCCCTGTGCAGGGCAGGGTCCGTTGTGCCTCTCTCCACCATTCTACTGAGCTAGGGAGATGACCCAGTAAAATAAGCGCTTCCCTGGCAAGCACAAGGGCCTGAGTTCAATCCCCGGTTCCGCCAAAAAATC